GGTGGCAGCAGAGAAATATATTGCTAGGAAAGAGAGATCACAAGAAGTAGTTTCTCACTTCTGCTTTTTCACTCCATCCAAGCCCCCAGCCTATTGAACGGTGCCACTCACATTCAGGGCATGCCTTTCCCACTCGGTTCACTGACCCACACATCAGTCTTTTCTGGAAACACCCTCACAGGCACACCCAGAGGTATTCTTTACCAATTCTCTAGGTATCCTCAATCTAGTTGACATCTAAAATTAAACATTTACTCCCTGTACTTTTTGATTATATCATTTGACCCATAATGGCTGCTTAAAAATCTGGAACCTATGCCCTACAGTATGTTTCATCCAAATCCAAATTTGTAAATATATACAGAGAGAATGTGGAACCAGCACTTTTGATATGCTAAGAGAATAAGAGGGGTTCAAGAGAATATGAGATGGTATACAAGATTGGTGTTTATACAGGTTACCCTAAAAGACAATGATGAAGAAAAATCTTCCTAATGGACACAGCTTTAAACAAATGATTATCCACTTTGCCTGGAGGAAAAGATGAGTTTATACATAAGTTTATACAAATTGCTACCTTGACTATCTCAAACAGGTTGTCTTATGGGCAAGGTGCTAAAAAGATAAGATTGAAAGATTGATGACAAAGTATTACGATTACAGTATGTGTTATCTCTTATCTCTAGAAAAGAGTAAAGTGTGAAAATATTTTTGTTCATATGAATACCCACCAGAGAGCATCTGCTATACAGGCAGTGTCTGTGATCAGGCAAATATGATGACCAATCCTGTGGATATTGATTTTAACTTCTATCCCAGTCACTGGCTGCTTATTTAATGGGCTTATGTTCAAGTGTAAGGATTGTAGTGGTAGACATATAAGGCATATTAAGAGGAACTCCATGGTATGGAGCTCAGCCAGAGCTTCTACCCTTGTTGCCATGGTTACTTGTATATAAAATGCCAACTCTGAGTCTGATTGTTTTACTGTTCCTCACAGGGTCTAGGCAGTCTTCTAGTGACATGTTACTTACATTAAATTTACAGCAATTTGTTCTTACAAAGCATACAATGTTCCAGAGACATATTTTGTTTTCCCACATTATATTGCTTCTTCCAGCACAACCACCTTTGGATTTATACCATCATGCTATTGCAAAACTGTTACTTTCAATCAAAGATTAGATTTTATAATTAAGAGTCTTAATAATGGGATGACCCTGTGGAAATGACCTTACATGTATCCCATTAGCCAGAAGCAGATGACCAGTAGAACTGGCGCAATGATGTGGTAAAGGTTCAGGTATGGCACCAATTTGGAAAACCCACTTGCTATGATTTGCATGTTCATGCTCCCCCTACTCATATGTGGAACCTATGGTGATAGTATGAAGATATAATTACTACCCTCATAAAAGAGGTTTAAATTATACCCTTTGCCCTTCTACCATGAAGAATACAATAAGAAGGCATCATGTTTGCAGAAGAAAGCAGGCCCTCAGACCCCAAATCTTCTGGTGCCTAGATTTTGAACTTTCCATCATCCAGAACTGTAAGCAATAAATTTCTGTTGTTTATAAATTACCCAGTTCAAGGTATTTTGTTATAGCAGTAGAAATGAACTAAGATTGTACCTATGTAGTACATGATTAAATTAGCAGCATTTAGTAGCATCTTTCACATCCAGTATAAACACACTATTGAGAGCAGAGGTAGAAGCGGCCCCTGTGACTGTCAAGCTAACAATTGATTTATAGAACATTTTCTTTCTAGTTTTGAACATAGACTCAGCCAACCTGGAAGTCCTAGTGAAAAAGGGAAAGCCCTCCCATCAGGAAAAGCAGTCTGATTCTAATAAATGGAAATCGGTAAAACCCCTTGGCTCCTTGGAGCTTTGTAAGCTGCTGAAGAAATAGGTGGGGAAACGGTTTTCCTATACTGACCAGAATGACTTATCCCTATTACTAAGGAGCACTTGGGTTAGTGATATACATAGGGGTGATGGGGATGATGGCTAAAACCCAAGGTATGCAATGTGCTCAAAAAATACATTGTTTAAATGTAAAAAATTTTAGTGTAGTAAAAGACACATTGCCATTAATCCTCTTCAAGCTTCTCTCCCCTCACTTGGAACACACTTACCCCCTCGTTCCTGCCACTTTGTGAAGCAGTTCTGGAAGTTCTCTTTTATGAGTCTCTTTTCAGGGCTACTACAATGTCCTGAATAAATTTGAAACATTTCTGGCATTTTTTTTTTATTAAAACCTTTTTGTTTTTTTTTCTTCCCCCTCTTTCCCCAATTTTGGCCCCTGCTTCTTCTGGCTCTTCCCCAAAGTCACAATGACCCTGAAAAGTAAACACTTTGAATCAATTCAGGACATGAAGACAGCCACAAAGTAGAACTAAAGATACAAAAAGAGGACTTCCAGAACTGCTTCAGAAAGTAGGAAGAATGATAGGATGTATTCAAAATGAAGGGAAGTAGTTTGAGGGGGACTAGTGGCAATATGTCTTTTATTGTTTTTAATTTAAACATTCACCATAGTTTTCAACAACACTTCAAATACACTGAAGAGATTCCTCACTCCTACTATCCAATAACAATAGTCAGTGTGCTGGACAGGAACATTAAGGACACTGAGTCTTTAGGAACCAAAATTTGGGTCACTTCACCAAGAAAAGAACATGGAAGTGCTGACAGAGATGGAAGGGTGGGAGTTGTAACCACAATGTGTCTGTTTTGCTAATTTATCGGTGTGCATATTATTAAGCTTTATCAGTGTGTGTATTATTAAGCTCAGATGAAACAACCCTGTCTACTTAGTAGATAAGTAAACTGAAGCTTAGATGGGCACCAAGCTAAGAAGCAACAGTCAGCACTGAATCCACGCGGGCTGTACTGAGAGCTATATGCTTCTCTACCCCTCAACAATGGCTTGTTCTGTGCTTCTAGGAGAACAATAAAGGGTCAGCATGGATATGAACTGAAGTTGTATCTGAGTATCTGCAAACCCAGGTACAGAGCTCTTCTCTCTTTGATTTTTTTTTTACTTTGTTTTTATTCTGATTTTTAGGACTGTTTATCTTCCTGAAACTAAATCTGAGTACAGCAGCACAATCTGGACATTAAGTATCTCCTGATAGCCCTTCACTGAACAAAATTTCTCTTAAATAGAACTGCAAATTTTAAAGTATGAAGTGTTTTTAGTTTTCCTAAATCTATCATAAATATCAAGAAAAGTTAAACTAATGTTTTTCCTTAAGTTATAAGGGACCAAAAAAGAAAGAAGAAAGAAGAAAGGAAAAGAAAGAAAGAAAGA